CAAAGTTACTTTTTCATCACCATTGTGACTGTGAAGGGTCACTAAACAAGGACTACCTGTATTTGCCAGGGCCTACAAATTATCGCTAAAGTAGTTATTGTTTATTTGCAAAAAATCTGAAGCATTAAGGACCTGAAAAAAAATTAAGGATGTTTCTTATGCTCTTAAGATGAGACTAATTCCTTCCCCATATTTTTATACATCTCAAGTTGGTGGTCAACTTCATTATGCTGGAAATATGAAATCATAGAAGAGACACTTATACATACCATAAGGATTTGTTCCACTATTATCCCTTTTTGGTTTAATATCCATAAGTTGGTTAATAAGGTTTGGGACTAGTAGTATGATTTAAAGAAGTGAATATGATTTTGATTATATGTGATGAACTATGAACTTATCTAGCATGAGGTATAGCAAAAACAAACACACACAATTACTGTTTTGCAGTAGAAAGTTAGTGCTTCCACAAATTTACAGCTTTTTTGCTTTCTGTTTAAGAAGTGGCTCTTTATGGACATACTGGAAAATCTGATCAATATTATTCTTTGTTGTCATGGTTTAAGGCAGTGTTTAAAACCTGAGCTGCTTGCTTTTACATACACTATGTTTTTCTTGTTTTCTCGTTTTTATATCTTTTTCCTTTCTTTTTGTATATTAAAATGATTTCTAAAAATGCAGAGCAGAATGCTAACTAAATTCTGCACAAATAAGGCTGATAGTGAGGGAGAATGGAAATAACCCAAAATTTCTAAATACATTTATACTTGTCTATGAGCCTCAAATATATTAACTCAGAAACATAAATTATAATAACCTATTACCTTCAGTTTAGCATATTCTGGCCAACGCAGTCACAATCAAGGAAGATACCAGGTTTTACAAAAATAAAACTCATAAAAATTATTCTTCATCACAACTTTCCAAACATATTTTCAATCCTTTGGTTTCCAAGAATTCAGGTATCAATTGTTAGTGAAAAATAGGAAGGAATTCCAAGGTCAAAACTAATTTCAAGTTGAAAAGTATCTAAAATTTTGCTTTCAAATAGCATGTTCAAATAAATGTAATATGCAGAGACATCTCATTTCAACAGACCAATGAAAGGGCATCAACTATTCACAAATGTCTGTTAAATAAAGTAAACAAGTATGGCAATTTATGCCATTTGCACAATAATACCACTAGGCAAATTACTCAAATTGTAATTTATGCCAATTTATATAATTCAAACAACAATGGAATTATACAAATGGTGTAAATTTGGAAATTTACGTCCACTGCATGTTAAGCCCACTTTATTGATGTCTGTTAAACTGAGGTTTAACTGTACTATTATTTTTATTCAACAGCAGGAAGCCATTCTAGCCATCTCATATTTCTGTCACAGAGTCTACAGAGGACATGTGCTTTCTGTCAGAAAGCAAAGTTCCTTCTGAAGATTTTCTTCGGTTTTTTCCCATGTTCCTGAGACTTAGTGTTATTTTAACTGTTTCAAGGGAGGAAAGGTTTTATCTAAATTTGACTCAGTATTTGCGCACATTTTTATTTACAAAAAATTGTAAATTGGCGAATATAAGACCACATTACTCATGCTGACTTAACCTTACTTCTGGTTGCAATACACTTCTATAATAGTATCTATATGGAATATAAAAAGTTGGTATTAAATCCAATTCATCAGTGAATCATTTTGTGAAACAGACATTTCTGGTGGAATCAATTCCCTTCCTGACTTAATCGTGAGCAAAGACTGGAAGATGCATCCATTCACTGTTCCTTACACTCTATTTCTCATGAAGAAAACAAGTATTTTGTTTGTGTACTTTATGCACACACCCCTAAAAGTATGCCCATTTGTATAAAAAACCAAGACATCAAAAATAAATCTAGCTTGTTCAGACAAAAACAACAACAAAAACTCATTCAAAATGTTCGTAAATATCAGCTTTGCTTCTTATTTTACAAAAGTCAAACTTGGGCACTGTAGTTATTTGTACAAGTTTCTGATGACAGGAACAATTTAACATACCTCTTTAACTAGTACTCAAATAATGATGTAAAATTTGTGAGAGCTAATGATCTTGAAAACTGCTTTAATTACATCATGTTTCAAGAAACAAGTTTCACTCTACACTTTTTATTATTTTAGGTGACGTGGATATCAATTAAAGTTTTGCTTCCTTCTGTCAAGCAAAGGTAGCAAATTACTGCATTTATCCAGCCTGTGTATTACTGGCAGATATCAGCACTACTGTGGCAGCTAAGCTAGAAACACAAACGTTAAATTACAGAAATGCAACAAGCCCATAACTGTATCTCTTACACATGGTAACCACACCTTTGCCAAAGATAGCAAGTTATTTTACTTCCGCCATTACTATCCTTTTCCTCTTTCTCCATTTTTGTAGGCTTAGCAGAAGAGCAGGGTAATAAAGAGACAATCTTAGATGTGGAGGCCAAAGGTGAATTTCTGTATACCTCTGGACACTTCCAACAGCTGTATGAACTGGCATCCTTCTATGTGAAGTTATGCCTTGCCAACACACACAAACTCAGACTGCATATGAATATACTGGGCCGGGGATGGGACTGGCAAGATAAGAAACAATTATGCTAAACATGATTCCTCCCTGGGAGAAAATACTCAGATCAGCCAGAGGCAACTACCAACAGTGTGTGTAGCGGGGAGCCTGGTACACTGATCAGCCCATGGGAATCCAATCAAGCACTCTCAGCAAGTGACTAGGGCACTATTTAATTCAGCCAACGATGGGGCAACGAACTGGGACCCGAGACCAGGAACAGGACGGTGGAGGTGGCTAAAACCCCACGCGACACGAAGGGTCAGGTCCCCAAAGCGCCAACAGGTAATATCAGTTACAGCTGCTGAAAGGAAAGAAGTTTCAGCGACGACTTATAAACTATAAATGAGGCGGGAGAGGCAACCCAAAGAGAAGAGCCAGCATGGATGGGATCTTGGCTAGGACCTAGCAGGAGGCATTACAAGGGGGAATCTTCTCGTGGTTGTGGGGACGAGGCACCTGAAGTCGTGGCCAGAGGGAGAGAGGCTGCGGTGGAGCGGAAAGTAAACGAATTGCCGGCATAAATCTGGGTGACTTTAGTAAAAGGGACGGGGGAGCCCACAAGAGACCCAGACCTTTCCCCGGCACCCCATAATACTCACGCCTTGTCCACCAGCTCCCGGACTTTCCACATATTGAGCATCGTGGCGGTGGCGCCGCCGAGAGACCCTCTCCCGGTCTAGGCCCCTCTTAATCCCCCAGACTTCTCCTTCCCCTCGGAGCCCAGCTAGCCGCTCTTCAGCCACGGCACCGCCAGGCCAGGCCCGTCTAGCCTCGCCACCTCCCCAGCTTCGCCAACGGCACAGAGAGACAAACTCGGTTCTGCCTCCGGAAACCGGCAGCTCATGGTCGCAAAGCCTGCTGGGACATGAAGTCTGGACGCAACGCAGTACTGTACTGTAGAAACGACGTTGCCTATTAGGAAAAAGGAAAGGCACGGCATTCCATCGCACGGCATCCTGGGAATCTTCCGGGCTCTTGTGCCTGTTGGAAGGATTCAGAAAAGGGCCTGTCCCGCACTCCTTGCTGAAACTGAAGTTTTTATTGTTTGCTATCTTAGGCGCAGGAGAGTTGGATTTAGTGGAAGTTACTCGAAGTGAAGGAAGTCGTAATGATGCAGCTTTAAGTAAACTGTAGATTAAATGTTTCAGCAGCTGAATGTCCATATGACTATGTTTGTCTACCAAAAAAGCAACAAGGAAGAGATATAGTTTTTTTTTAGATTTTTTATCCCGCCTTTATTATTTTTTATAAATAACTCAAGGCGGCGAACATACCCAATACTCTTTCCTCCTTCTATTTTCCCCGCAACAACAACCCTGTGAGGTGAATTGGGCTGAGAGAGAGTGGCCCAAAGTCACCCAGCTGGATTTCATGTTTTTGTTTCTAAGTTACTGAAACTTATTCAGTGATCTGAAACTAGAATCTTTATTCTAAAAATACGTAAATTAGTGCTAATTGGACACAAAGCTATATTTTTATATTAAAAATGATGTATACTTTTAAAGATAGGAAATTATTTCCAGTTAGCCAGTTCCGTTTAAGCAGTTATTTTCTGGCATGCCATCACAAGGGAAAAGTCAGACCTTATTTATCATACTACTTGCAGAAGGTGAAGAAGCAGCTTAATTGTTCTTTCTTGAATACACCAGGCTACTCTCAGATAACTGATTTATGGAAATGCTCCAAATCTAGCTCTAATCTGGATTCAACAAGGATTAATATGTACAGTAATGCATAAGTTTTGCTCATAAAGTTAAATGTCATTACCTCCTTTTCATGATTCTTTATCTTTTGTGAGAAAGCCCAGCATCAGGTGTCCCCTAAACTAGTTCAAGCCACATTCTTGACAAGTTACAGGTAAAGATAAACAATTAATTGAAGCTTTATGCTTTCTCTGCTTCTTTTAGCTGGTAGATAAAACAAGAGATTCCAGTGTTGTATAGTGACCGAAACAAGCTCAATTTCTTAGGCTATAAGTGAAGGGTGAAATTATATTTCCCTCTTAGCCCCTACTACTATTATTCTGCCCTGCTTCCTGTCTCACTGAGGTTCTATTTAGTTTAGATTCCAGCTTAATTCTTCCTTGTGTCAGCCATCATACTTGAATGATTCTGTAATCAGGGAGCTGATGCAATGGGTTGATTTTTATACAATACAATATAGAAGTAGAATTCTAAAGTAGTATCTTGTAATGCCATCCCCATTTATATCCCATTTACAACGGGTTTCAAAACCAGATTTTACAAATTGTCTCTTAAGAGTTATACCCTGAATATTTATGCCACAACTGAATCTAACCATATATAGTTTATTCTTATAAACACAGTGCCAGTTGCTAATAGTTTTGAAATGTTATTTTATACTAAAACATATTATCACCATAGTCTTGAAAATAACCACATAGGATTACCAGAGCTTAGTTAACTGAAAACAGGGTAGTACCTTGCAACATCACTGTATGTTCACGTTTTTACTTGCACACCAGGTCTCTAAAGCTTAGTCATTCTTTCCAGTAATTAAGGATGGGTGTGTTGGGAAAAAGGCTTTCTTTTTCCCTGTTGGATAGGTTTTACTTGGACTTTTCCTTTTATTCATACTGATTATTTACATAGCTTGCCCCATCAAACTATGTATCATGACTGTAATGATGGGGTATGTAATAATGAAAAAAAAAATATTCTCAATAGCGTTTCATTAAAACAATAACAAGTCAGTCTAATGAATATACCACTTGAGCTACATATCCCTGTGATTTAACCCTAATCTTTAAAAATCATCCTATACAGACAGTAACCCAAGGGAATAATGAGAATTAGGTTGGATCAAAGGGACCCCTGTACTGAGGAAGGAAAATATCTTCCTTTTCATCCAATTATACTACAAGCATGGAAGAGGGTGTCCTTAATCATCTTTCAAAATGGCAATTGGTATAGGAAAGGAGGTATTTTTTAAAGCAGGGTTGGGTGCAAGTATTTGGTTTCCTAATCTGTCATCCTCCAGATCTGTTAGTTTGTGATTTGGTAAATAGAACATCACCAAACAATAATGTAATGCAGCAAGCTATGTGAACCCAATCCATTCTAGTTTATTCAGCAAACCATAGCTTAGCTAAACATGCTGTGTATAAATAACTGCTAAGTCCTAGAATTCTTAGGCAGCATAGCCAAGAAGTATGATGGATAGAAATTCTGTAATGTCAACACAAGAGGAGGTTAAAAAGCAACAGAAGAACCCATCAAGGTCAGCATTTGTGGCATATATTGGTCAACCAACAAAGTCTTCCTTAAGCAGCTGATATTTAAGGTATGCTGCCTGAGTTTCCAGGGCAATTAGGACTAACAGCTACTGATACCATGATCCACCATGACTCTGTCCAGTTCACTTTTAAAATTGTGAACTGCTAGCAACACCAATCTGATAGTAATTTCCACAGTACACATATGGTTGTATGAAGAACTTCATTTCATTGGTGCTGACTGTTCCACATTTTTAGTCTGATTGGAATATTCCAATTCAAAACTTGTGAGAGAGGGAGAAAAACTTATCTTCATCCGCATGTTTTGTACCAGGTATCATATATACCTTTATCATTTCTTTCTTTTACTCATCTTTGCTCAGAGCTAAAAATCATCCTACACACTAGGCTTCCTTTGTAGGTGAGCTGTGTAACCCCTAATAATTTTGATACTAAGATACAGGTTCTGGGTGATTATTTAAATCCAGTATTTGAGTTTACACCTCATCCTAATCAGTAGGTTGTCTGTTTTGGGATTGGTATCGTATATAAATCAAGCCATTGTTGTTTATAAATCGTGTATGTGATGTTGAATCTGGCCATTATGGGTTGTTCAACAAACCATGGTTAAACTTGGTAGCATGTATTAGTACAGTGCTTCTCAACAGCTGTTGATGCTCTGTGTCCAGCAACAGGTAGTCATTTTTCATAGATAAATATATGTGGTGGAGAAAACTCTTCTTTTTAAGTCAAAATTGAGTTATGTACTGCAGTTTTGGAGCATTTGCTGAATTTATTGTATAAATTGCTAATTTAGTGAGAGAGGAAGTAATGTCAGTCAATGACTTTCATAGCCTACATTCATTTGAAATAAAATATCTCACTTTTATGACTAGGTTAAGAAGATTTCTAGAAAACTAAAGGGAATTATGTAAGAATGTGTAAAGCCATTTACTTTGGGACAAAGAAAAGTAGAATGCTTATTGTCAGTCATACAGAACTGGCAAAAAGAAGTAAGTTCATTTTAGTGTTAGTGCAAATGTATGACATAATTATTGCATGATGTAAGAATTTTTTCAACATTATTAGTTTACTTGGAAGCAAGAGAATGTGTCAAGGCTGACTAACTTAACTAAAATGTAAAGCAGTAGGAATTTATGTCATGAAAACAATGTATACGTTATTTAAACAAAGAAAGAGTTACTTAATAATTAAGGAAATAATAGGAAGAGAGTTACATCTAATACGCCAGTCGAATTCACTAGTAAAATATATGGCTCTGGATTTTATCAAATGTTACACTTCAATTAGTTTGGCGGTCTGTAAATTCAAATCTGTTTATCATTGGAAAATTGAAAAAACCTCAGAGGGATCACTAAGAATTTCATAGTGAAGGCCAGTTTGTTTTTGAATTTCATACACATACATGCATACATGTATATAAAGTACTGGCAGAGAAATGGTCAGTGAATGGTTAGTTCACCATTAATTTGTATTTTAAAAAGAATAATGAAAATACTGTATAGTTAGTAAAGGGAAAGATTTGTAGCTAAAGTCAATTTGTTCTATTTGGTTTGAGATTTTAGATTATATAGTTCTGGAAGGCTTTGTATTCAATTTTTTTATTAATTGATTGATTATGTGTTATGAAGTCAGTTTTGACTCTTAATGACTAGATAGATACACCTTCTGCAGGATATATGTCCCTAACCTTGTCCTTCAAGTCTTCCAACAATGCACCCATTACCACTGTAATTGAATCCATCCACCTTGCTGATGGTCATCCTCTTCTCTTTCCTTCCACCTTTTCCACCATTATAGACTTCACCAGAGAGCTAGGTCTTCACATAATGTGTTCAAAGTAGGATAATTTGAGCCTGAATTCTGGGTTGTTTTGTTCTAAGATCAGTTTGTTTTCTTGGCTATCCTTGGTATTCTAAGGACTCTTTTCCAATATCAAAGGTCAAAAATGTCAATGCTCCTATCCTGTTTCTTCAGAGTCCAACATTCACTTTTATAGAGTGTCACCATTGCCTGCATGGCTCTGATCTTTGTAGGTATAATCATGGCATGGTGTCTGAATGTCTTTTCCAAGGCTGTCGTTCCTACCATACTATGTACTAGTCTATGGCATATTTCATGGTTCCTAGAATCATGGTTGATTCTAAAAGGCAGAAGCTATCCACTGCTTCAGTATCTACATTGTCAATTCTAAGGCTAGTGTACCTGTTGTGATTCATTTGAACTTTATATTTAATCATAGTTCCATTTTTTCATTGTACTCCTTGGCATTCATTATTAGAGCTTGCACATCATTTTCATTTTCAACTATCAGAGTAATGTTATCGGCATAGAGCAGATTATTGATATTTCTTCTTCCAATTTTAAAACCATGTTATCTTCTTCCAGTCCAGCTTCCCTCAATATATATTCAACATACAGTTGAACCAATTATTGTCTACCCATTGGCATCCTTTAGTATATCAATTTGAGAGTTTAGAGCCTCTTGAGTTGGGAGAACTTTTTGAAATCTTAATAGGATAGATATGGGATAGATAGATATTGGACAGAGGCGGACCCTGTGCCAAAGCCAGTGCCAA